GTAGTTGTTTTGTATTTATAGCATACATATAGATACACGTGTTATATCGCTTACTTCAATGCGATCCACCATTCACTGCTATTACACCGAAACACGTGCATTAATCATTGAAAATGTGAATTACTCTTAAAGTATCCCTTACCGGATTTTCCCGCCAAACCGAACTTTCCTCGAAAAGATTCTCTAACTCACAAATTGTTCTTCTCGACTCATTCCTGCACTCAGATTCGATGCTTGATATCATTTTAATTGAATAATATAGTTGTAATTGATTGGTCGCCCTGTACTTTTCGTCAGGTATTTTTAGGGGTTTTATCGCTTTTAAGGTTTGGATTGGGAAAGTTGCTTGCAGGATATGTACAAAATAGAAAATATTAAGGACAAAATCAAATGCGGCTTGTATATTCCCTCAAGCCGAATAGCCGTTCTTTTTGCAGCAAAACTTATAAAGAATGAAGTGGAAAACTTTCTCGACATTGAGTCGACGGGACGAGCGGAAATCTCGGGCCATACGTCGGCCATTGTGTGAAGAGTTAATGTAAATAAAGTGATGAGAGAGAGAGATATGGTGATGATGATGATGATGATGCCTGTATTTCAGAATATCCTTTGTTTCCTTTGTAGTGACACTTAAATAATAAACAATATACATCCAGGAAAAAAAACAGGATAGAAATTGTTATCCTGTAGCCTATATTCAAACTAAGTCTATTTGATATCTGCAACATATACAATCAATGACAAATAAAAAGATAAATGACAGAAATAGTATTTTATCAAAAACAATAAATTAACAGTATATTTTAAAATAATCTTTATATTTCGGTCAAGGTCTACATGTACTACTGAGACATGCGTTAACGCAAAAAGAAATATGATATCATCCCATTCTCTTGGAGTTTATAAAGAGCACTGTTGACGTTATCGTATTGTTAATGAGCATGTCTGTTATATTTTAAGTTACTGACTAATACCCTAATCAAAGGACATCTAATGTCAAACATAAAAGAAATGATTGCAGTTTGCTCTGCAGAAGCGTTGGTGCAGAGAGCTAAATTCATTTACCATTTATAACACCTTGACAATCACCGAGTTCAAAACGGTTAAATACATGCTGCCTTCAGTCGTAAATATTTACCAAAAACGAAAATGTGAAATAACAAAACGCGTATTAAATCATGTAACTGGGAAGTCTTTTATTTGCAGTTTTTCTCAAAAGAGCATTATTCATCAATTCAACTTTCCCGGATTGTGCTTTCAAATATCCCCATCTCACGTCTGGATTTACTCGTCTGAAGCTGTGGTGTGAGCCATTTAACAACCACCCTTACTAAAGGAGTAAAACTTCTGCCAGAATGATTTTCCACTCCATTTAAATTTGTATACGTCCCGAGATCTAATGTTGTTCAAGTCTCATTTTTCCGAAGGTACGCTGCCTCAGTAAGTGCTCAGAAGGCTTAATGATTGGATTTTAGATCTGTAATTATAATGAGATAATGCGCAATGCTTACTTTGAAGGAAATATGCCACTTAGGTATGCTTGTCATAGTTTATTTTCATAGCTTTACTGTAACTTTCCGTCTCAAGCCATATGAAGGCACGTTAACATTGAGTAAATGACGATCTTTCTTGGTGCGTGGGTGTTTTTGCGAACTTTTTATTTACATATCGTGTATTCACTCGCGTACCACAGACACAAAAAATAATAACTGCAAATCTAATGGGGACCGCCTGTATTAAAGCAAAAATTTGTTTTGTAGCAGAAATAAGTTCCATGCAGTATTCTCCCTTTTAGTGTACAATAAATATAATTAAAAAGAATCAGCCTCCCCGACGGGGAATTGAACCCCGGTCTCTCGCGTGACAGGCGGGGATACTCACCACTATACTATCGAGGATTGGCTGCACGAAGTGAGAATTATTGTGGCTTCGAACCCGTTAATGAGTGATTTTCTTGCGTGGCTTGGTACTTGTAAAAATAAAACGTTTCATCGCTCATACGTGCTACATGTAGCACAAGTAAAGAACTTTAGACAGTGCAGCCTATTAAAATGCTATTTTTATCGGTATCAAAAATCCTGTTTTCAAGTGTAATATTGCAGCTGATTGTATATGCCATCAACGATTAAAACCGTGCTCGTTAAACGCTCTTGTTTAAAGATAGGAGAGGGCCCAATTAAATTTTATTTTTTTAATTTTTTTTATTTTATTTTTTAGTATCATATATTTATCAAATAAATTTTCTTTACTTGATTACTGATTTTAATAAGATAAAAAAATAGTTGCTGATTTAACGCCCGCTTATATGTGTATGTATATATAATGGGTCCCAGGTTTCAGTGTTTCATTTCTGCTTACTTTTCTTTAAAAACGGATAGTATATTTGCAAAATATTTTCATACGCAGAACTAGGCTCTATATTATTTATTTCCATCACTGAAACAAGAACCGATGATGAGCAAACACCTTAAAGAAAATATACATCAGGACCCCGTTATATTATTTACTGTATGTGATATCAACGATATTTTGAATGAAAGTATCTAATGTTGTTTTAAACGTCAAGTTGTCTTGAGGAATTGTCCAACTGACGAGTGACACTGCCTATAGAAAACAGTGTCAGTTGTATTCATTGTTTTTGCTTCGTTTGCATAACCTTATCGCTAGACGTGGGAAGGCAAAGATATGCGAAGCAGATCGTGTCGTCTCATAAGTGAAGCCGGTTAATGGAGTATTCACAGTGAGATATCATCAAAAAGCGAAGAGGGCGCTTTGTTTTCGCAAACCCTTCATTTACATATAGATTTATTTGAGGTTATAGTGAGTTATCTACTCGCGCACCACAGATACTGATACCGCCAGTATGAGAATTTCTGAGCGTCAGTTTATTATTTAGCGACAAAAATATATCCAATAGACATGCGTTCCGTAAAGTACCCTCGCTTTGTGTGTACGGTAAATATAAATTTAAAAAAATTTTCTTCCTCCCCGACGGGGAATTGAACCCCGGTCTCCCGCGTGACAGGCGGGGATACTCACCACTATACTATCGAGGATTGACTGTAGAACTTACAGAATATTGTGGTTTCGAATTCCGAAGATAAGAAAAGATACTCCATGAAAACATACCACACTGCATGTAAGATGATGAGAAATTTTAAGTTGAACAACATTAGGCCTTTATACATTGATATTTTCAGTACTGAAATCTGCTTTGACAACCAGTGACTTCATTGAGATATCTGAAGTTCAAACACAGATATTATCTATTTTCGTTTATAACTGAGAGTGAGCAGTCTATAGTACTGTATGACATAATATACTTTTTGAAACGAGTTGTCCTGGTGAAGTTAACATTTAGACTTTTTTCCGGGTGGGAGTACCTAAATTCAGAATGCAAAGCTTGTTGATCATCGCTGATACATGTAATATTTCTCACAAATGCTATAGCCTTTACTTTACATGTATCTAGATGTGTTGTTAGTCTATCCCCTGTTTCTTTATTACCTCTCTTTCTTGTCTTATCTAACACTGGGGACCTACATTCCATACCATGTGTTTAAACACTACCAATTACAGACAAAAAAGGCTATAAAACAAAGCTATAATCTTTCTACATATAGATTAGACCAGGGAACTATATCCGATATAATTCCCTGATTAGACTTCATTAGGTAATATAAGTTGTACAAACTTTTGTTTGCTTCCTATATTAGCTTTGTAACGAGCTCTTCCCACTTCAAGTTAAGTACACATTTACTAGTGTAGCATTATCATCTTTGATAGTTACTGGTGAATGAGCTTGAGGATATCCTTTTAAGTCAAGATTCATTTCCTTAGTTTTTCCAGATAATAATATACTAATTGTTAGTTTTAATAGGGAGCGCCTGTTAAAAAAAAAGGGTACATTTGTCATGTACAGACAAACGTATGACCAACAGACTTGTGTTCCGTACACTATTACCTTTTGTGTGCGGTAAATATAACTGTAAATATCAAAATAAAGTTTTCCTCCCCGACGGGGAATTGAACCCCGGTCTCCCGCGTGACAGGCGGGGATACTCACCACTATACTATCGAGGATTGATGGCAATATATATAGTTTTGTAGCTATTTGGAAAGCGGCTCTGCGAAAAATATTATTTCCAAGAAGTTATGATTGTTTGTATGGAATTACGTTTTTATTCAATTCAACCGTAGAAATATTAAATGTAGAACATTGTCGTCATAGTCACGTGTCTCTTGTTAGTCATCTGAAGAAGTCGGAGGAAAGAGAAAAGATAAAGTCCTATTAGGACTTGATATGCAACACGCAACATTTCATTCTGAATGTGATAACATTTTTAGCAATTAAGGCGGGTTTAAAATGTCTACCAAACAAAAGCAGGAAATTACCCAAAAACAGTATATAAAAAATTATGCAATTCATTTCACGCAAACCATTATGATATGGAGTGGATGAAAATGATGAAAATTTTGATATCTGAAGAACAAATCACTGTGCTTCAGACGCATAAAACTTTTACAATATTTTTAAATACAGTAATGGTGGAAGTTGGGGAGAGGTTTTTTTTACCAACTTGTAATGCCGAAATGCTTATTTTGGAAATCCCACCTATATTATACAATTATAAAATGTCCAAAAATAGCGAAAATCATTTGATGTGATCTAAACACTAACAAGTCTGAATATTATTGGTCTAAATTGTAAGGCGGGAAGGGTGAGTAGCCCAATAGAGAGACTCCAGGCGAAATGGGAGGGTTGACACGTCTACTTTGACGCTTGCATACTCCTCTCATTCTCGTTGTCTATTTTATCGCGTGCATGCTCCTCTACCGAAATCCCCCAAACTTCTGAAATGTGCTTTTTCTGGACGCCTACATTGACAACCCGACCACTATTATAAATATTCCCTGTTTGACCAATGTTTTGCTAGTATATACAATTTATTTATTATTTTTATTCAATTTTATGTTTTGTTTTGTACGGATTAACCAAAATGTGTTTCTTTCAGCAGCCAGCCCTTGGCGGCGGCAATATTACGATACAAAGGGACAGCTTTGGTCAGACAGGCGGAGTCAACATTGAGAGGTGAGGCAGACTGTTTTTATTATACAGTTTTCTACTATTGTATGGGAGCGGAACAGCACTGCACTCACCCCGAATTTCAAAGTTAACTGGTTACTCATCTCTATAACTATTATAATGCCTTCACGGTCTCCAGTCTCTTTTGAAACTCGGGGTATAGGCTACTTTGCTGTCCAGTGCCAGTTACCAATCTTTCTATTACGCCACAGAACTTTACAATTTACAGCGTGGCTTTCTGTCTTGAAAATAGTTACTTGTAGAAAATACCTATTTTAATAGCTTAACCAGTCTATCTTAAAAGATGCACTGGTTAAGGTATTTATGGCAACACGAGACGACCGAATGAATAAACCAGTATTTTAGAAGACTGTCCCTTGGGCCTATTTTGCAAAACTGCTAAAATACTTATACTTAGTTAAAACTGCTAAACGCGAATAGTCGGCTCCATTAAGTCAATTTTGAAATTTTTGTTTAAAAGCATTTCACGAACAATTAGTTCACAATAGCTTTAGATTACACACCTCAAAGAATAATATATCCAGTGTGGTTAAATGTCTATAAGAGTATAGTTTAAATAAGGCCGAAAGAAAAAGGTCGGCGACTTGATAGATTCTTTGTGAAACACAACTTAGATGGCAAGCAAAGAAATTTCTTGAGTGCTGACCTAAGAATCTCTGAGAAACGTGAGCCAGACTTAGCAAAGAACCGCTTATTCAATTTTTTTTTTTTTTTTTTTTTTTTTTGTAAAACATGGTCTTGGAAGTCCAATAAAACATTTAGAATACAGTGTAATTTTCTGCCTTTTTTAGATTTACGCTGAAGAACGACCATGACGTTACAATGCAGGTCATTTCATACGGTGCTACTTGGACCACCCTACACGTGCCTGACCGTAACGGTGCAGTCTCCGACGTAGTACTTGGCTACGACGACATACAAGGTAAAAAAGAAATACAAATGAATATTGTGGCTGTTCGTATTCAAAGGTCCTATATTTGAATTGCTTTAATTATGTTCTGACATTTGTAACATTTACAGCACAAATGCTTCTCCAAAATCCATCTTGTTAAAATTCTTGGTTATATGCATACAGGATTCACGCTCAAGTTCTTTATTTACTTATATCCTCTTCTTTCTTCGCTTGATTATTCCCGTTCCTTCCATTTTGTCTTTTCTTCTAAATTTCATTTTAAGATTTATTTAATTTTTTTTTCATTTTACAAAAAGTAATAATGAGACAGACCAATCAAAATTACTTAATAGAAACTATTTTTCACGAAAATATAGGTTATGTGAACGGCGTGTCGTCTATTGGAGCTACAATCGGCCGCGTCGCCAACAGAATTAGTAATGCTCGATTTACTATAGATGGCACCACATATGACACGCCCAAAAATGAAAGAGGAAAACAGACGCTTCACGGCGGCGATCCATCCTTTAGTAAGGTAATATTCTGTGCTTTAAAGCATCATAGATGTAGTCTTACAATTTCATGACTTTTTTTACCTGTATTTTTAGGGATCATGACCTTCTTTCGAACAATTTTTAAACAACATGCATGCAACTGTTCATTTTAAAATCATGCAAACAAGTTATTTTAAAATAATCAGAAAAGATGTATTGATACTGTTAAGTTTGAGATTAACTTTATTGCGGTTGGTAAGTCCTTGAAAAATTGTCGATAATGTCAGGAAGTTTCCATTCTTCTTCTCGCAAAAACATTATCAACGTCAATTTAGCTAATGATAACATTGATTGATGCGTTTTTGCATCCTTTTCAGTTTATTTGGACACCAAAAGTCGGTCCGGGATTTGTGGAATTTGCATACCGCAGTCCTGATGGTGAAAATGGTTTTCCTGGAACGATGGACATAACAACAAGGTTTGATCTCTCTCTCTCTCTCTCTCTCACACACACACACACACACACACACACACACACACACACAATGAATTTATTACGTAGTATTACACATATTGATAAATCCTTAATGATTTTTCAGGTACACATTGACAAATAAGAATGAAATCATAATCGACTTCGAGGCAACCACAGACAAGGCCACTCCCATCAATATGTGTAACCATGCCTACTTCAACTTAGCTGGACAGGTAATTCCTGTTTGTTTGGCCTTTTCGGATAGCGTAAAATGAAAACAGACCATTTTACACAGCTTTGCGATATCAGATCGATATAGTTCATTTAGTGGCACCAATGTATTGGGAGTTACTGTTTAGATAAGTTTTTTTATTCACCTAATGCTGAAAAGATTTTTGATAAAAGCATTAGCCTCCCCGACGGGGAATTGAACCCCGGTCTCCCGCGTGACAGGCGGGGATACTCACCACTATACTATCGAGGATTGCCTACTTTCTTCTCAGGTTGCTCCGCCTGGGAAGTAAAACTTTTTTTAAACTTTGTATTCCTGTATAGTTATTTGTTTTTTCATTCATATGTTGCAAACTTTTGTTATTCTTTGTTGATTTATTTATTTTAAATAGCCTAATCTGATTTGCAAATATACATTTTTAATTCCAATAGATGAATCAAGTTGTAAATAATTTTTTTTTATGATTTCTTATCGCCGCCGGTCTTCAGATATGTTAATAAAACCTCCCACTAGTCGTGGTTATTCGATATGAAGATAGGGTTTTAAAGAATAATTTAAACGCGTTCTTTTTAGGGAAACAGAACAATGACGGACCATAAGATAGCGATCTACGCAGACAGTTATTTGCCAGTGGACGCCGAGCTTATCCCTTCAGGTGCGTGGTTATACTGATACTTGGGGAAATAACTTGCCCTTATCAAAAATATCAGGCCTGTAGCCCGGGGGGGGGGGGGGGGGGGGGGCGGGGGGTGAAAAAACCCCCCCCCCCCCCCCCCCCTTTTTTCCAGG